CAGCAGCACCATCATCATCAACATCGTTACCACGACTAGCATCATCATCAACATCATCATCAGCATCATATTATCGTGCCCACTGTCCCCCTCTCCTCTTCCTTCCCCGCCTCCGCGCCCTCGCCTTCATGGGCTCCGCCAACCGCAGGGCTGCCACCACTTCCCGAACCTCTGCCGAGGTGCAGCGTTGCGTCGCCTGCGCGGGCCCAGCGCTCCCCTGGGCGCTCAGGGAGGCGCTGGGCCAGCGCAGCGCTCCCCAAGCGTCTCCCCGGGCGCTCCCGATGGGCGAGGGCCGGCTGCACGTGAGGCCACGTGTTGCTCAGGCGCTAGGCACTCGTGCGGCTTGATGCGGTGGTCCTCTACACGTGCACGAAGCAGGTGGTGTTCGAATACCCCGCGTGTGAACCCAGTGTCAGTGTCGGTGTCTGTGTCTGTGCCTGCCTGTGCCTTTGTGTGCGTGCGTGTGCGTGTGAGTATGCGCGTCTGCGTGTGCTTGCGTGTGCGTGTGCGTGTGCCCGTGTGTGCGTGTGCGGTGCGTATACGTGTGGTTCTCTGTGTGTTTGTGTGTGCGTGTGTGCGTTTGTGTGTGTGTTTGCGTGTGCATTTGCGTGTGTGTGTGTGGATGTGTGTGGGCGTGTGTGGGTATGTGTGTGTGTGTTTGTGTGTGCGTGTGTGTGTGTGTGTGTGTGCGTGTGCGTGTACGTGTGTGTGTGTGCGTGTGCGTGTGCGTGTGCGTGTGAGTGTGCGAATGCGTGTGCGTGTGTGTGTGTGTGTGTGCGTGTTCGTGTGCATGTATGCGTGTGTGCGTGTGTGCGTGCGTGCGTATGTGCGTGTGTGCGTGTGTGCGTGTTGTGCGTGTGTGCATGTCTGCGTTTGTGCGTGTGTGCGTGTGGGTGCGTGCGTCCGTGCACGTGTGCGTGCGTGTGTGTGTGTGTGTGTGTGCGTGTGCGTGTGCGCGTGTGCGTGTGCGCGTATGCGCGTGTGCGCGTGTACGCGTGTGCGTGCGTGTGCGCGCGTGTGCGCGTGTGTGCGTGTGTGCGTGTGTGCGTGTGTGCGCGTGTGCGCGTGTGCGTGTGTGCGTGTGTGCGTGTGTGCGTGTGTGCGTGTGGTGCGTGTGTGCGTGTGTGCGTGTGGTGCGTGTGTGCGTGTTCTGCGTGTTCTGCGTGTTCTGCGTGGTGTGCATGTTGTGCGTGTTGTGCATGTGGTGCGTGTGGTGCGTCTGGTGCGGGTGGTTCGTGTGGTGCGTGTGGTGCGTGTGTTGCGTGTGGTGCGCGTGGTGCGTGTAGTGCGTGTGGTGCGTGTGTGCGTGTGCCTGTGCGTTTGCGTGTGCGCGTGCGTGTGCGTGGGCGTGTGCGGGTGCGTGATCGTGTGCGTGTGCGCGTGTGTGTGTGCGCGTATGCGTGTGCGCGTGGGCGCGTGTGCGCGTTTGCGCGTGTGCGCGTGTGCGCGTGTGCTGTGCGCGTGTACGCGTGTGCGCGCGTGTGCGCGTGTGTGCGTGTGTGCGTGTGTGCGTGTGTGCGTGTGTGCGTGTGTGCGCGTGTGCGTGCGTGCGTGTGTGCGTGTGTGCGTGTTCTGCGTGTTCTGCGTGGTGTGCATGTTGTGCGTGTCCTGCGTGTTGTGCGTGGTGTGCGCGTTGTGTCTGTTGTGTGTGGTGTGCGTGGTGTGCGTTTTGTGCGTGGTGTGCGTGCTGTGCGTGGTGTGTGTGTGCTGTGCATGCTGTGCGTGGTGAGCGTGGTGAGCGTGTTGTGCGTGTTGTGCGTGTTGTGCGTGTTGTGCGTGTGGTGCGTGTGGTGCGTGTGGTGCGTGTGGTGCGTGTGTTGCGTGTGGTACGCGTGGTGCGTGTAGTGCGTGTGGTGCATGCGGTGCGTGCGGTGCGTGTGGTGCGTGTGGTGCGTGTGGTGTTGTTGCGTGTGGTGCGTGTGGTGCATCTGGTGCGCCTGGTGCGTCTGGTGCGTGTATTTGTGTGTGACACGCGTGTGTGTTTGCAGCTTTCTGGTAGGCACGGGTTCTTTGGATGTTATTGAACGTCATGGGTGGGTTGCGTGTGGCCCTGGCTCCTTCAACAAAGACCGCCCAGCCACAGTCGCAGAGTCTCGAAACTATGTGCGGGATTTGGGTGGCGAGGGCGCGAGACTGGTAAGGGAAAGAAGTAGTGAAGTGGCAAGCGCGAAAGAAACCCCCCACTGCGGTACCACATTGCGGGCTCCTTTACCATTCTCCACCTCCTCTTCCTCGGCCTCGTCAGCCTCCTCCTCCTCCCTCTCCCCCTCGTTCCGCATCGTTCTTCCTTTCGTTAGTCCTTCCTACACGGTCGGCCCTCGTCATTCCTCCCCATGCTCCTCCCCGTCCTTCCTCGTCATGGCATCCAAAGATGCGATCCCGTCGCCCCTCTCTCTCTCTCTCTCTCTCTTTCTCTTCTTCGCCCTTCTCGAATGCGGGGGTCCAGCGGTTCCGCCCCTAGTTGCCCTCTCGCTCCCCCCCCCCACTCTCCCGCTTACACAAGAGACAGGGGGGGGGGAGTATTGCGCAGTTGCGCTGCGCGGCACAGGCAGACCATTGGGTGGTACGACAAGGAGCGGGACGAGGCGTGCGCGCCGCCGCAGCAAGGAACAGCGGGAGAGAGGGAGGAGGAGGTGGAGGGGAAAGAGGACGGAGATACAGGGGGAGGGGGAAGAGGAAGTGGAGGGCGGAAGGGGGGAGGAGGGAGAGAGGATCAGGGGGATGAGGAAGAGGATGAGGGGGAAGAGAAGGATGAACATATGGAGGAAGAGTAGGAGGAGGAGGAGGAGGAGGAGGAGGAGGAGAGAGGATGGAGAGAGAATGAAGAGAAGGAGGGAGGAGGGAGAGGAAGGAGATGAGGAGGGAGAGGACGAGCCGCGATTCGGCGGTAAATTGCAAGGAAGTCCCAAGCGAGAGCGCGATTCTTCAATAAGTTGTAAGGAAGTATCAGGCGGGAGCCGTTGTTTGCGCGGGCCACGACGGGCGCGAACGAGCGGGGGCCCCGAAGGGCATCCGTGTAGGGGCCGCAGAGGGCAGCGACGGGGCCGCTGAGGGCAGAAACGGGGCCACGAAGGGCATGCATATGGGGCCACGACGGGCGCGAACGAGCGGGGGCCACGAAGGGCATACATATATGGGGCCAGAGAGGGCGACAGCGGGGCCACTGAGCGCAGAAAGTGGGCCACGATGGGCAGCGAGAGGGTCACGAATGGCGACAGCGGGGCGACGAAACGCATGCGTATGGGACCACGAAAGGCGCGAGCGAGCGGGGGCCACGAAGGGCATTTAATCCGGGGCCACAGAGGGCAGCGACGGGGCCGCTGAGGGCAGAAACGGGGCCACGAAGGGCAGAGAGGGGGCCACAAAGGGCGACAGCGGGGCCACGAAGGGCATGCATATGGGGCCATGACGAGCGCGAACGAGCGGGGGCCACGAAGGGCATTCGTATATGGGGCCACAAAGGGCGACAGCGGGGCCCCTGAGGGCAGCAAAGGGGCCACGAAGGGCAGCGACAGGGCCACGAAGGGCGACAGCGGGGCTACGAAGGGCATGCGTATGGGGCCACGACGGGCGACTGCGAGCGGGAGCCACGAAGGGCATATAATGCGGGGCCACAATGGGCAGCGACGGGGCCACTCTGAGGGCAGCAACGGGGCCACGAAGGGCAGCGAACGAAGGCGACCGCGGAACCAGTACGGGCAGCGAGGGGCATCGAAGGCGGGCGAAGGGCAGCGAGCGGCGACTGCAGTCCCTAACGGGCTGGTCGGGCGGGCAGGCCCAGACGGGCGGGTCGAATGGGCGGGTCGTTGAAGCGTAAATGCTGCTTGAACCGCCAGGCAATATGTAGCGGGAGCGCGATTCCTGAGTGTCGAGGAGCGGCATTTGAGTAAATTGTGAGGACGTATCAGGCGGTTGCCGCAATTCGGTGGTAAGTCGCGAGGAAGTCCCAAGCGAGAGCGCGATTCTTCAATCAATAAACTGTCAGGAAATATCAAGCGGGAGCCGCGGTCCGGTGGTAAATTGCAAAGAAGTCCCAAGCGAGAGCGCGATTCTTCAATATATTGTGAGGAAGTATCAGGCGGGAGCCGTTGTTGTTGTAAACCGGGGGCCAACAACACAGTTTGACCCTCAAGATTTTCTTTGATATTGAAAAACAGGGTACGATCCCCGGGAAGGGCGCTTCAATCGAAAAAACAATATGCACCGGACGGGGGGGATCAACAATAATTATTTTCCAGAAATGAGATGAGAGTTCAACAACCGACAACAACAACAACAACAACAACAACGACAACACAAGCAGAATCCTCACCACGGATTCTCACTTCAGCCACATACCCAGGGACAATGAATGACCGTTCGGCCCCCCACTCTGATATACATACATGTAGATATATGTACATACATATTGCTCCACATAAGTCTCACACCTGGATTGCTAGAAACACATTGTTTGGGGCCCACGCTAGCTTGCATCGTGCCATAAGGAATGTGCGAGCATACTATTCGTCGCTTTGAGGGCCTTAAGGTGCCCCGAAGCTTCTGCAGGCCCCTCGGGCCAGCCAGGGGATAGGAAACGTTCGTTGGGCACCTGCTGGCAGGACGATATCTGACTCGATGTGCCTACTGTGTTCATCCAACGACACCTCTTCCGATGACCCCCAATACGCCCCCAGTGGCTCAAAATCGGCTAGAAAGATACGGCTTGGCGATCGAACAGCCGCCGATCGGCCAAGGTTGAGCGATCAGCGCCTTAGTTGCCTCGATACGCCCGTTTTGATACGCAATACGTATCGTGTATCGCGTCGGACCTACGTTTTCAGCCTATGTGTTGAGCTCCGTATCAATACGCTACGTGTTGCGTGTTGCGTATCGGGGCAGCTAAAACCAGCGCGGTGCCAGAAACCAACGCCAGGGTCGTCACGATACGAACCTGCCGCCTTCATCCGACGACTCCTCTCCCGATGCCCTCCACACTGCGCCCGGTGCCCTCCTGGCTCAGGCGGGCCCTGACGGGCCAGCGCCTGGGCCACCCCCGCGACCGATGAGGCGCTGCGCTGCCGCGCGTGCCCGCGGCGCGTCGGCTCTGGCGCACGGGAGGGCCGCCGTGGCGCGGACCACGGCGATGGCCGCCGCCTCGCGGGCGCGGCAGTGGCAGGCGGGGCGGCGCCGCCACAGGGGGGGAGATGCGGCGGGGGCGTTGGCCAAGGAACGTCCTCCAAGGGGGCCAGACCCCGGGTTCCTCATCCGAGTGTTCCTCATCAGAGACCTCCGCCGTAGGGTGAGGGCCCAGTTGCCCCGACACGCCCGCGATGGGTCGCAACACGCACCGTGTTCGAGACGTCTGCGCGGACCATGGTGCGCGTCCGCTCGGCGCGTGTTGGCCCGCGCTGCGGCGAGCGTCTCATCGCGCCAGACCCGCGTGGCCACCTGCGCGTTGAGCTCCGTGTCAACACGCCGCGGGTTGCGTGTGGCGTATCGATGCAGCTAAGGGGGGGGGTCGCAAGGTTTCGGGCGCCCGGGGTGGTTTCCATCGGCTGCGCCTCCTCGGGAGCGCTCTGGGGGGTGCAGGAGTCGTGCCGAGCGGCCGCCCGAGAGCCGAGCCATGACCCCGGGGCAAGTGCTGCTTGAATTCTCCCTTTGGGACGATGTCCTGCCGTGGGCCGCAGCGCGGACTCAGGCTGAGGCCGTGAATCGGCGGAGCGCGCTTTTGGGGTTGTTGCTTAGGCCGCGTTGCCCGAGGCGCGACGTCAGGGGGAAGGGGGGGGGAAGGGCCAGGGGGTGGGGCCTTCTCGAGAAAGCGCACACATTGAGCAAGGCGCATGGATTCGCGACGGGCCCTGCTTCCATGCAAGATCGACGCGTCCCGTCGCCAAGTCGGGCGGCGCTGGCTGCACGTTCCAACTCCAGCTCACACCTCCGACCTTCCATCTCCCAGCTCTTTGGCCCATGGGTGCACCCCTTCCCCCGACCTCCCGTCGCCAGCCTCTGACGTCTAACCCCGAAAGCTTGACAACGAGTGCGCTTCAGAAGTGGGAGACACGGCAACGATTCCGGCGAGACCGACGCATCAGCGGACGGATGGGTCCTATGCGTCCGATTCTTGCTGTTGCCTTCAGCAATCCACCTCTTCCCACGCGACGCGACCCACCTACACTCCAGTGTCTCCGACCTCCCGTCTGAAGTATCCAGACATTTCGGGAAGCGAGCGCTTCAATTGCAAACCAGACACTTGCACCCCTCGAACTTCATCTTCCGACCGCCACCCTCGACTGGCCGACCTCCAACCCCCACTTCCATCACGCCACCTACCACAATCACAGACCAGCAACAGCGGCAGAAGTATTTCTCACCAGCACCACGGACCACCCCAACGAACAATACCAGCCACAACGAGCAGCAACATCAGCAGCCCGACCAACAGAGCAAAGGAGGAGGACGAGAAGTCTACAACAATGTCGACGGCGACGTCCGCACCAGCATGAGACGCTGCACTTCACGAGGAAGTGACATCGGCGACGAACATACATCTAGACAGGACGTTGACGACCAAAACATCGACCGCTGCCGTATCTCACTGACGGTTATTCAGAAAAATGCGAGAAGTTCAACCACGGACGACCCCATCGACACATTGATTTCGGAGTCGGAAGATATGACGTGGGGCATCGTGGCCATGAATGAAGCCTGGAGGACCACAGCTCGTGAAATGTGGACAGCCAAATTGGTATCCCATGCGTTTGCGGCAGCTGGCCACGATAATGCCTCACGAGGTGTCGCATTCTTGATCCACCGACGGCAATTGCGTAATGTCAGGAGCAGCACGCGCATAATCGAGCGCATCGCCTACACCGAGCTCGACATCTCCACTTCGAAGGTGCGAGCCGCAACAGCGTATTTCCCACACCCCAGATGCCCCGACACCCAAGTCCAAACGTGGTCTCGACTGTCGACCATCACACCCAGCCACCGCCGACACATTGTATCAGCCGTGGTTGCAGCAGAGGCTCATCAACGACGACGGCACAACTAGGGTAGACGGCAGATGCAAACAGCATCGAGAAAGTTCTTGCACAAGCTCGCAAAGGCTACGACGCGGACCGAGGCGCGGCACCGCACCACCAAAGACTCGAAGGCTGCCTAATCCCAGACCAGAAACTACGGGAGCTCATCGAACAACGACGCAGCACGCCACACCACGACACAGCCACACGGACTCTGTTCAGCAAGCCCATCCCGAAGCAGTTCCGACGCATCCGGAGCACCCGCACGCACGCGCGCAAAGCTAGAGGCGGTTTTCTGCCCATTCAGGAGCTTACACAGCATCGCCAGGAAAAAAGCACTTTTGATCCGCGGGTCGAGAACGCACCTCTTCAGGTCGAAGCTAAGCGGGCCGCGCGAAGCTTGAATTAACAAAGAGGGGGGGCAGAAGGAGAGCTAAAACCGCCAGGAAAAAAACACCAAAAAACGAAGACGTAATCGCACCGGTGATGACCACGACTAGCATTGAGGCCACTGGCAGACAGGGCATCGCGGAAACAGTTCCGAGCAGTTGCACCGAGACCCAGAGAGCACAAGTGGTAGAGACGTCAATGGAGCAACGACGGCAATCTCTGACAGACCACCGTTCACCACCGTTCGTCGACTTGCCACCAAACAGCTAAAGCGTGGCAGATGCAGCGACACCGCTGGACTCGCAGCAACATTATTCAGGGCAGGCGGAGCAGCTCCTGAACGACATTTGCTTCAGCTCTACACTGGTATAAGCAGACCAGACCAACCACCACCCAAGCTTTGGAAGAAGACAGCGATCACGGCCATTTGCAAGTCTGGCCGACCCCAAAGTACCACCATCTGTTCGACCGATGACGTTTATCCCGTTGCTGTACACATGTGTGTCCCGCTTCCTACGCAACCGGTTGGAAGCCACACTTGGTTCGCAACGAAGCACAGACCAAGTTGGCTTCAGGCGAGGCTTCAGCACAACAGACCCACGACAATGTTGCACGAGAAATCGAACGCATGGCAGCTCCCCCTGTGGGCGGCAACGATCGACTTGAAGAAGGCCGTCGATTGTGTCGACCACGAGGCGTTGCGGAAGCTCTACGACAGCAGCAAATACCAGACCCATACACTGAATCCCTGCGACATCTGCACGACGACCAGACATCCAATGTCACAGCCGACATTAACAGGATAAGCATTTGCATTCAACGTGGACTGAAACAGGGCGGCCCACTCAACAATTCCCCACTCACTTCTAGAACATGTGTTCAGGCAGCTTGAGCCCGGCTGGCGCCGACGAAATGTTGACATGAAACTCGGATTTCCCCGTGACGCCAGCATCAAGAGCCTACGCTTCGCTGACGACATGCTGCTGTACGCCCCGAAGTTGCGACAACTCACTTGTTCACTGCAGGAGCAAAAACCATGCATCCGACTGCGGATGTTCACTGCAACCCGACGACCAAGATACTCACAAATGGCAGTTGGATGATGGGAGAACAATATCGCACATAATTTTGAACGGCGCGCGCATCGCTATCTTGCCTTCCGATCAGAGCACGAAGCACTCCGGAATAAAGTTGCCATGCCATGACTTCCAAGACACTGAGCTGCAAAATAGGATTGCAAGTGGTTGGTGCAGTTTCATCAAATGTCCTTTGGTCACAAGCAAGCGGTTTCCATTACACAGCGGCCTCAAGATCTTTAACGGCACGATTACACCGAGCGTTGTCGTTTGGATGCTTCTCTTGGGCCCTCACAATAGATTCGTTGATCACATTCCAGCGGGTACAACGAGAAGTGTGTGGACTTGCAGTAGGTATACCGAGAAGAAGACACGCGGCAGAACAACACAGACAGCCCCCGAACACCCACAACAACAGCACCGACGCCACCACGACAACCACAGCATCAACACCTGCGCCGACATCAGCACCGACAACGGCGGCGACGAATTGGAATCTTGGGTTCGTTTTTTTTCCGAGGGAGTAACTTCCGCCGCCAGTGCAATGGCGAAACGTGCAGATGGTCCTAGATGGACAGATACCTAAAGCAAGCGCAAACAGAAATTCTTTACGCTTCGCGTATCCCCACCAGCCCATCTCACAGCAGCAACTCTTGCGAAGCATACCGACAGTCGTGTTTTCAGGCGTGTGTCCGCTTGGCCCCGCATATGTCCCCTGTTCCTCCTTCCTCCCGCCTCCTTGTACATCCTCATTGTGGGGGGAGCGGGAGAAGGACGAGGCGGAGGAGGAGGGAGAGAAAGCGCTCCTCGTGGTTTGAGTCGTTTGGGGTTTCTCGTCCTGGTGTGAGTCGTTCGGGCCCTTCTTCCTGGTGTGAGTCGTTCGGGCTCTTCGTGGTGTGAGTCGTTCGGGCTCTTCGTCCTGGTGTGAGTCGTTCGGGCTTCTCGTGGTGTGAGTTGTTCGGGCCCCTCATCCTGGTGTGAGTCGTTCGGGCCCCTCCTCCTGGTGTGACTCGTTCGGGCTCCTCGTGGTGTGAGTCGTTCGGGGCCCGCGTCGTGGTGTGAGTCGTTCGGGCTCCTCGTGGTGTGAGTCGTTCGGGCGCCTCGTCCTGGTGTGAGTCGTTCGGGCCCCTCCTTGTGGTGTGAGTCGTTCGGGCTCTTCGTGGTGTGAGTCGTTCGGGCCCCTCGTCCTGGTGTGAGTCGTTCGGGCTCCTCGTGGGGCCTCTTGGGGGCCTCTTGGAGCCTCTTGGGGCCTCTTGGGGGCCTCTTGGGGGCCTCTTGGGGGCCTCTTGGGGCCTCTTGGGGGCCTCTTGGGGGCCTCTTGGGGCTCTTGGGAGCCTTGGGGGCCTCTTGGGGCCATCTTGGGGCCTCTTGCGACCTCCTCAGAAGCGCAAAGGAGCGCTGGCCCCTGAGAAGGACAAAATGAGGCCAAAACCTTCGTAGAATCCATGATTTTGCTATGAAGGAAGATGAGCGCGGCCGCCTCAGGAGGCCAAAATGGGGCCAAAACCGTAGTAAAAACAATCATTTTGGCTTCAAAGAAGAGCAGAGGGGCCAAACTCGGCCCCCCCGTCGGGGCCAGAATCCTCGTGAGGGTCGTCGTTTTTTAGCCCTCCCAGGAGTCGAAAAAGACCCCCCTGGCGACGCCCCAGGGTCCCTCTCCAGGCCCAGGGGGAGGGGGGAGGGGGAGGGGTAAACCCCTCCCCGAAGGGGAAGAAGGGGGGTTGAGGACAGAGCGGGCTCTCTAAACCACTCACGCCCAAAGGGCTGGTGGGATTTGCTGCAGGCGTCGCCACCACGACCCCAAGCTTGCACCACTCACGCCCTGCATTTCGCCGACATGGGGGAGAGGAAGTCGCGGACGAAGACATCGCTTCATTCTTGCATTCGACGATAGACACGGACAGCGGCACGCGGCGGTGGAACCCCGCCCACGATCGACAATGGTAGGACAATCGAGGAGGACACGTCCTACAATATATGCGTTGCTTTAGCCACTCTGGCAAATATTCTTGAGCACACTGACTCCCGTTCTTGTCCCGACGCTGGCTCCTATCTTCCGACTCCGACGCGTATCCTTCTGATGTTTGCGGTCGTCTCTCCGACTCTGGTGCTTACCCCCGAGACTTTGGTTTTCTTATGTTCCGATGTTTTACGGCTGTTGTTCCGATTTTCGCGATCGTCTTTCCAGTTCCGGTTCATACCCCCCACGATTCCTGTTTTCTCATTATCCGATTATTGTATCTATATTCCCGATTTTTGCGATCATTTGTCCGACTCCGGCTCCTGTCCCCACGACTCTGGTTCTCTTTCCTTCCGATTCCAGCGCTTATTACTTCGACTCTTGCGGTCCTCTCTCCGATTCTGGCTCTTATCTGCTATGAGTTCGGCTCACTGATCTTCCGAATATTGTGCCCATCTTCCCGCTTCTCGCAATCGTCTCTCCGATTTCAGATCCTATACCTTCACGGACGCAGATATTACAACGTCGGCGCCAAAATAGTATGGAACACTTGTGGTCGAATATTTACACGGACGACGACAGCGGCAAGCAGGTTCACCCCCCGTTTCGGATTTCAAACCCCACGCTTCAGACGCCGACTCTTGCTCACAACACGTCTCCTGAGGGCCCCCAGCCGCCCCCACCCCGTGCCCTCGTCGGGCCCGTCCCGCTGGACCGACATCGCGTGCTCGGCCCGCCTTCCCCGAGGCCCCCCTGGAGGTGATTCCTGGAAGGCGGGCGGACTTCCGGGGTGCCCCCGCTTCTTCTCCGACTGCGGTCCTTTTTCGCCCTTCCCGCCGGGGCCGCGCCGCCCACAGGTGTCGCTGGACATGTTCGAGGCACTCCGCGGCGATGCGCCCGAGGGCGTGGACACGTTCGCGTACTGCGCCGCCGTGGCGGCCTGCGAAAGGGGCCAACGGTGGGAAGCCGCACTCGCGTTGCTCAGCGGCATGCGGCGGCTCGGCTTGCAGCCCGTCGTGGTCGCCTGGAACACCGTGCTCAGCGCGTGCGCTGGTGGCAGCCAGTGGCCGCGTGCTCTGGAGCTCTTCTCGGCCACGCGCAGAGAGGGGTAGGGGGAGGGGGGCAGGCTTCTTCGAAGCGCCCCTTTGCTTCCTAGAAGGCGCGGGCCTTCTCTGCAGATTAAGGCCGGCACCTTCTAAGAAGCAGCCTCCTTCGAAGAAGCCCCCCCTCCCCCTACCCCTTTGTGCGCGCCGCCAGTCTTCAGCGAGGCGAGGCGCAGCATGGTGCGGGCCAGCACTGTCACCTTCAATGCGGCTATCACCGCGTGCGGCAGGGGCAGGCAGTGGAAGCGCGCGGGCCGGCTGCTCGCGTCCATGCGCAGGGAGGTGGTGCGCGCGGACACCATCTCTTATAACGCCACCGTCAGCGCGTGCGAGAAGGGGCACGAGTGGCCACACGCCTTGTGGCTGCTCTCGGAGGCGCTGGAGCATCAGGTGCGTCCCAACACCATCACCTGCAGCGCTGCCGCCAGCGCCTGCGAGAAGGGCCAGCACTGGCAGGGGGCTGTGGCGTTGCTGAGCACTGCTCGGCAGTTGCGGGTGCCACCGAGCTTGATCACGTACAACGCCACGATCAGCGCATGCGAAAAGGGCAGCCAGTGGCAGATGTCTCTGAGCTTGCTGGAAGAGGTGCGGCGGCACCAGGCCACGCCAGGGACTGTGACCTACAACGCCACGATCAGCGCTTGCGAGGGCAGTCATCAATGGCGATTGGCGTTGGCCCTTTTCGGCGAGGCGTTGTCTGGCGGCCTGCGGCCAAGCGTCGTCTCTTTTGGCGCGGCCGTGAGCGCTTGCGAGAAGGGCGCGCAGTGGCCTCTAGCGCTGGCGCTGCTGGACGACATGCAGAGCGCCACGGTCACCGCCGACGTCGTCGTGCACAACGCGGCGATCCTGGCGTGCGCGCACGCCAGGCGGACGGACCTGATGCTCGCGTTGCTCGACGACATGGCGACCGCGGGCCTCACGCCAGACGGCCGTAGAGGAACAAAAACTTGCATGGATATATCATTTCGGAAGCCCGCGCGGATCCCCTGGTCCGCGCGGACATTCGAAAGCTTATCAGACTGAGGGGGCCGAACGGCCTTACACCATCCCTGGGTGCGTGGGTGGGGTGGGATTCCCTGGTCCAGATTATGTTTGTTTGTTGTTTGTTGTCGTCGGCGTCGCCCCCCCCGTGACCCACCCCGCGACCCAACCCGCGACCCACCCCGCGACCCACCCACGACCCTCCCGGTTCTCACTCGCGACCCACCCGCGACCCAACCCGCGCCCGCCCCCTCACACCTTGTCCGCACTTGCGGGGTGCTGCGGGTTTATGCCGTTCTTAGCTGCCCTGATGCGCTCGCTCTGAAACGCAACACGTACCGTGTTCAAAACCTCCGTGTTAACGCGCTGCGTGTTGGTTCGGCACAGATCGGCCCACGTTTTGGCGAACGTGCCGAGCCAAACGTACTGTGTCAGTCTTCGTGTTGAACTCCGTGTCAACACGCTACATGTTGCGTGTTGCGTATCGGGGCGGCGAAGAAATGCCGCTTGCTCTTCTTCGAGGCCAGTGCTGCAGCAGGCTGCTCTCAGAGCTGGAGGGCATGGGCGGCCCGGGCCCCCCGCGGCCGCGCGCCGCGCTGCTGCGCGCCGTGGGCCGCGGCTCCGACGCCCGGCTGCAGCGCGCGGCCTCCGCCGCGGCCAGTGCCGACCTGCTCATCGCTGGCGCGGCGCCGGAGGCCGCGGCGGGACGCCACCAGAGGAGGACTGTCTGCACGTGAGCGTGACCCTTCGCCGGAGTGGCTTTGAATGCGGGCTCACAGGGGTCCCCGCAGCAGTGGCTTGCGCGCTTGGATTTGGCCTTCCCGCGGCCCCCTGAAGCCGAGTGATTACAAAAGGTTCGTGTTACACAGGGTCACTGTTCTGTGCAGCCGACTCCAGAGGAGGAGGAGGAGGAGGAGGAGGACAAGTGTAAGCCGAAGATTCCTCAACGATGCTGCAATAAACCCTCCCTCCAAGTTCCTTCTTCATTGGTTCCTAGGAGGATCTGCGTTCACTGAAGAGGAATGCGCCCCGATGGAAGACAACCATCTGGAAATCCTGAACCGTGCCAAAACACCATTCCTGGGACTGCAATGCCGCGAATCAACGTGACTGTTGCGTCCTGACAATCCTGAACCGTGCCAGACGTGAATGCTGCGCCCTGTCGCTCCTACATCGAGCCAAAACACAGTTTCTGGGACGTCAACCATGAGAATCCCTCTGAATTGCGGCACGCTCTTGAGACGAATGCGCGCGGCGCTCTGAAGCGAGAGCCACATTTTGAAAACGGCTCGCCCTCCACCCAAAAAGATCTTGCAAAACAGCGAATGTGCGCGGCGCTCTGGAGCGAGAGCCACATGTTGAAGAGGAGCCGCCCTCCATCCCTAACATTCCTGCAGACTTGTTTGACAAATGTGCGCGGCGTCCCCCCCAGTTTGAAAAGGAGCTGCCATCCACCCGTGAAACTCTTGCATACGTTTCAGACGAATGAGCGCGGCGCTCTGAAGCGAGAGCCACACTTAGAAAAGGAGCCACCGTCCGTCCGTGACACCCTTGCACATCTGTTGGGCGAGTGCGCGCGGCGCAGAGGCGAAAGCCACATGTGGCAAACGGCCCGCCCTCCATCCCTGACACTTGTATGACGAGTGTGCGCAGCGCTCTGGACCGAGAGCCACATGCTGAAGAGGAGCCGCCCGCCATCCCTGACAGTCTTTGCACACTGTTCAGACGAGTGCGCGCGGCGCTCTGAAGCGAGAGCCACAGTTTCAAAAGGAGCCGCCATCCGCCCGTGACATTCTTGCCATTTGCGATAGCGAACGCGCGCGGCGCAAAGGCGAAAGCCGCATGCTGAAAAGGAGTCGCCCTCCATCTCTGACACTCTTGCACACTTGTATGGCGAATGCGCGAGAGCCACACTCTGGCGCACTCCGGCGCTCTGGATCGAGAGTCACACTTGGAAAATGGCCCGCCCTCCATCCCTGACATCCTTGCAGACTTGCTGGACGAATGTGCGCGGCACTCTAAAGCGAGCACCACAGTTCGAAAAGGAACCGCCCTCCGTCCGCGAAACTTCTGTGTAATTTTGTCGGGCGCATGTTCGCGGCGCTACGGCGAGGGCCACATGTTGCAAGCGGCCCGCCCTCCACCCGTGAAGGTCTTCCACAAGTTCACGGCGAGTGTGCGCGGCGCTCTGAAGCGAGAGCCACACTTGAAAAACGGCCCGCCCTCCATCCGCAATACAGAATCATAAATGGTGAGGGAGTCTCTGGCGAAACGCCTGGCCCGCCCTACCAACACGTCTCGGGGATCCAGTTGCCTACGGCAAGTGCCGCCGCCGTGTCTGGGCCGTGGGTGTTTTAGCCTTCAGCCTAGAGGATGTTTGTTGGAATCTCGTGGGAGGCATCTCGGGGGGCCTCTTAGAGGTAATTTTGAAGCCTCTTGGGGCCGTTTGGGGGCCTCTGGGGGGCCTCTTGGGGCCTCTTGGGGGCCTCTTGGGTCCTCCTGGGCGCCTCTTGGGGCCTCCCAGGAGCGGCTTGGGGCCGAAGGCTCGGATTTTCGGTTCGTGTTCTCCCTCTGGCCGTCCTGGGGCCCTTTTGGGCCGTCTGGAGCGCCTTTGGGGCCGTCGTGGGGCGCTCTTTTCCGTCTTGGGGCCCTCGGCTTCTTGGGCCGTTTGGGGGTGATTTGGGGGTCTATTGGGCAATCTTGGAGCGTCGGAAAGCCGAAAAGGTGAGGACGCCAAAATCGTTCAAAAATTATCCTGGCGAAGGACCCAACCATATGAAGTTGTGAGTAGCGCAGTTGTGAGAACCGTATTCGGTGGAGCTCCGTATGGGGCCACGAAGCTTGTGAGGGGTGGGCCAAAACGGGGGTGACGCCCACATGTGAGCACTGCCACTGGGACCTTAGGTGGAGCCCCCTATGGGGCCACGAAACACGTCAAGGGTGTGCCGAAACTGGGGTGACGCCCACGTCTGAGCTTGCCTTCGGTTGTGGAGCTCCCTATGGGGCCACGAAACGTACCGAAACGGGGGTGACGCACACATGCGAACTGCACGACTGGGGCCTCTCGGTGGAGCCCCCTATGGGGCCACGAAACACGTCAAGGGTGTGCCGAAACTGGGGTGACGCCCACGTCTGAGCTTGCCTTCGGTTGTGGAGCTCCCTATGGGGCCACGAAACGTACCGAAACGGGGGTGACGCACACATGCGAACTGCACGACTGGGGCCTCTCGGTGGAGCCCCCTATGGGGC